GCCCGTCTCTGTGCCTCATGTCCTGTCCTTCGGTGAGACTGAAACTCAGTCAAAAGCAACAGCTGCTCAAAAACACATTTTAACTAAGTCTTGTTGGAGCAACAGCAGCACCAATAATATAATGAGTTTACAAGGATAAAAGTCAGTTTTATTCCTTAAGTGCCTGGTGTCGCTAATTAGCATCATAGATACATTTACACTAATGATGGGGCAATCTTGAATATAACCTGATCGACAGCAAAACAAAATGATTATTTTATAAAAAGAGTTAATAGCTGTTATTAAAGCTGATTAATTCTGGTGGTTCTGGTTCTGCAGGTTTTCAAGCCAGTGACGTCACAGTGAACTCCTCTGGACTTCTTCACAACATCCAGCTGCTGCACTTCCACCAGGTAGCCATTTCCACAGCGGCATTGTTTTCTCCTACGCTGCCTCCAGGCCTCAAACGCATCTTTGTGTCTAGGTCTACCAGGCCTTCCGGATCAGCGTGGTGAGTCACTGCAGAGGAACCAGAGGTAGGCACTTCCTGTATGAATGGATCAACTTCCTGTGACGTGGAGCGATGATCCCAGTGTGTGTGTGTGTGTGTGTGTGTGTGTGTGTGTGTGTGTGCGCGCGTGTGCAGACAGGCTGCCCGGTGTGTATCGGATGCGGGTCCCCTGGTTCCGGGAGGATTCCTTCACCACAGCCAGGTGACTCTTCCTCATTCCAGCTGCTTTCAGTTTCCTGCTGTTGGTTCTGACCCGGTTTGATCTGTCTGCCAGCGCGCCATCTGTCACAGAGATCTCAGGGATGCTTCACACCAGTCGCCCTGACAACAGCTCCAGTGTGCTACTGCAGCTCCACACCGCCCCCAACTGTCAGTACAAGGTACAGCACTGAGCTTTGCTTTCAGCCTGCAGCCTGGTGACTCTGGATTGCTAATCCCAAATTAGCAGTTTGCAACCCTGACTGTTATATAAGCTGTCAGAGGAGTCCCACATCAGAGTGATCGATCCAGAATGTTTCCTCCCCTCCAGGTGTCGGTCAGAACCTCCTTCCCCAAGGTGCTGGGACAGGTAAGTCCAGCTTTTGCTCATCCAGACAGAAGTTGCTGGTTTCTCGTTGCCAGGCAACAGGAGTTGTGCTGCGGTTCCAGGTCCTGCGGTTCTGCGGGCCGCTGGTTCCGGTCTATACGTCTGTAGCGCTGCTCTTGACCTGCGGGGGGCAGCTGTCCTCCATCCTGGCGTCGGGCCGAGCAGCAGACATGAGCGAGGCGGTGGGCGGGGCGCTGCAGCTGCACAAGGTCAACCTTCCTCTTTACCTGCTGCACATCCTCCTCAGGTGAGCCTGAGCCCCTTCCTCTAGGCCCCGCCCCCTGGGTCATTCTGGGTCACGTCTCGGTTCTGTTGTTCTCCAGCTGCTGTCGGGGCCTCCTCCCCCCGGAGGACGTCCTGCCCCCCACCCCGCCTGACGAGGCGTTTCCTGAGTGGGCGGAGTCAGGGGAAGAGTGGCGCCACCTGCTGGCGCCGCTGCTGTACGTGCTGGGGGCCACCGTGGCGTTCTGGGCCAGCGCTCTGCTGCGCCTGCTGGTCCGGCTCGCCTCACTGCTGCTGGCGCCGCTGCACAGGTAACCGCCGGTTCGGGTCAGAACCCGGTTCCCTCTGAACTCTCCCCTGACGACGGGCCGTTCCCCCGCAGGCCGTCCGTCTCCAGAGGCGCCGGGACGCTGCGGCTCCGGACCCGCCTCCTCCTGGCCGTCTGCCTGGCAGCGGCCGGATCCACTTCCTGCGGCGCTCTGGCCATCGCCGCCGCCAGCCTGCTGCACCTGAACCGGGTGAAGCACACACACACACACACACACACACACACTCTCATTCCAGGCCGTCGTTAACCGGATCAGAACCTGTTAAACTCGGTACTTCCTGGTCCATCCCTGTAGAACCTCCAGCAGCGGTTCTGACCCAAATCATTGTTGTTGTTTTATTCAGTCTTTATTTAATTTTATGTATTTTTTAAATTTGTGTTGTATTCATTTTTTCCAGTCTATTTTTTAAAAATGTTTTAATTATATATTCACAACAAATTTCTTATTTTATTGTTTTTATATAGAATTTTCTTTTTTAGATTTTATCTTCACTCTTCTTTTTTGTTTTATTTCTTCGTTTCATTTGTCGTTCATATTTGTTCTAATAGTTTTATGTTTCCTCTCCTTCGCTGCTCCAGCTGGAGGTTCGGCTAATGAAATGATCTGCTGGTTGTTTTGTCAGTCAGGGGGTGTACTTACTTTCAGTCCGTATTGCCTTCAGGTTCTCCGGCTGCAGATGACGGAGCGATCTCTGAGCCACATGTTGAACCTGGTAAGATCCAGCAGAACTCGTCTTCCCGGTTCTGTTTGGCCTGAAACCAGAACCCGCTCTCCATCCCTCCAGGCGCCACGGAAACAGAAACCGGCTGCCAACGGGGTGCCGGAGGCCGGCGAGCGCGGCCTGCTGTCAGAGGGCGCCCTGCAGGAAGTGAGGGACGACCTGCAGCTGCACCTCAGCCTGGCGACGCTGCTGCTGCTGCCCGCCGTGCTCAGCGCACCGTCGCTGCTCCACTGGAGCCGCAGCCTGAGGTAGCGCCGCGCCGCGCCGTAGGGAGCAGAGCGCCCGCCTGGCCCAGGTCTCATGGCCTTCTGGTTCTGAACAGGTTCTGCACCCGGCTGGACCCGGATCCCTGCTGGCTTCACTCCGTGCCTCTGGTCTGCGTCTCCCTGCTGCTCATCAATTGCAACACGCTGCAGCTCAGCAACAGGTGAGACAGTCGACAGGATCTGGATCCAGGTGGCCTTCAAAAATCTGCTGCTAAATTATTTTCACACAGCAGCTCAGTAAATCTGATATTTTACCAAAAATTCACAAAGTAGCTATGTAATTATTATGCTGAATATTATTAGTGCGATACCGTCTGCTCCAAAACAACCTGCAAACACATGAATGATGCTGACTCCAAGAAAAACCAAAACTAAAAACAGGTGCAACAGGAAAACGCTGCAATCTGGCTCCAGTAAACATTATTCCTCCAGACCACCAGGGGGAGCCGAGCAGCAGAGCGAGGGGACCAGAGCCTGTAGAGACGGGAAATCCAGAGGAAAAGTTTGAGGAAGGAAGAAAAGATACATTATACTTTATGTCTTTTATATTTAAACAGCAGCATATTTACGCAGCTAACATTAGTGAGTCCAGACTCCACCTAGTGGCCTGGAGGACTAACACTTTGTGGAGCGAGTTCACAGGATTTTAATCTTGCTGTTTTTATTTCCTGTGGTTGCAGCATTTTTGAGTTAATTTGCTTTTTATGGTTTATGTCTATCTTAGGCCACAACATTCACGTGTTTATTTTATCTAAATTTTATTTAAAGATTAGATAAAATAAATATTCTATAGATTTATTTCGTCTTCAGCAGATCTGACACTTCCAGGTTTTAAACTTCCTCCTTCCTGTCTTGCAGCCGACTGCTGCCTGTCGTCTCCTGCCTCCCGCTCCCATTGGCTGTCACCATGGCAACCTTTTCTTCACTCCACCTGTACAGAATTGTCTACTTCCTGTTGGCGGTGCTGGTCCCCCTGGGCGTCTGCTGCGTCCTCTGATGGCCCGGGAACCGACCCGCCCGCCGTCCGGACGTCCTGCTGCGTCGTCTGCCTTATCGCTCTGCCTTCAAGGAGTCAGCAGGGGGCGCTGTTCTGATGAGGAGGGGGTTCTGATGGACTGCCTGAACCGGTCATGTTTACATTCATAGTCCTAGAAGCAGAGCAGCAGGGTGGGGTTACAGAGGTCTGGTTTGTTCCTGGGTTCATGTCAGGGTTCTGGGTCAGAGATCAGAGGTCAGGGTTCTGGTTGTGGGACAAGCTCTGAGGCGGCGGTTAGGAAGCCAAAAGTTCAAATAAATTCTTCAGAACCTGAATTGAAACATATTCTCCTCTTCCGGGTCGGTGGCCTCGCAGATGGCCCCGCCCCTTGTTGGGCTTTAACAAACCTCCAAAGGGTTAAAGGTCGACGTCAGCCGGGTTCCAGCTGTTCAGCTGATGGTTCAGAGGTGGAACCTGCAGCATGACGCTGCCACCACCATGTCATTGCCTGACCCGATCAGCTCAGACCAGAGGACAGGGTCAAAGGTCAGAACCTCACTCTGCTGCCAGAACAACCACCACTTCCTTCAGCCTGATGGTGACCCTTCAGAATAAAAGCCTTTTTCATCGTTCTGTTCTGGTTCTGGATCCTGGTTGTTATATTTTCCTCTGTGTTTCTGGTTGCCATGGAGACCATCAGAACCGACCCAAAAGGTCCTTCTCTGCTGCCTTATTGCGTCTAATGGTAAACAATCAGCATCGCTGATTTATTGACTGATTATTTATTGCTGATTGAAATGAAGTTCAGAACCAGAACCCGGTCCATCAGAACCGCTCGATCTGGTTCGCTGCTGGCTCGGTTCTGTGTGATGTGGACCTGCTTCTGCTGAAACCAAGCAGGGATGGAAATGATTTTTTATTGCTTCGTTCACGCCTTTATTGTGAAGAGCTTCCTGTATTTTAAGCTGAAAACAGGAAGTTGATGCTTTGTGGATTTTCTGAACTTTTCTGTTTTTGTTGCCAAAAGTGATTTTATTCCTTTATATTCAAGCTGATAAAACGGAGAATCAGATCATAAAATTCATATTTAACATTTTCAACATTAAGATGCAGAAATTAAAAATGTTTAAATGTTGACGGTTGAGTTACAAAAAGAAAAAAAAATCAAATTTTTTTAAAACATTAATAAATAAGTAAAGAACCCATTTTGAAAAGTTTGAAGCTTTTAAATTTATGAATTTAAAATCTAATAGATTTTTAATATTTCAACACGGAATTTTTTAAAATATTGACTTTTTAAAAATGTAAAATAAAAACATTTTAAAAATGTAATTCATTTTAAAATTTAAATTATTTAAAATGTGACATTTAAAAATGTAGAAATTTTGAAATAAAAAAAAATTCTTATAAATATAAAAATTTGCAAACTTTTGAAAATGTAGAAATGTGAAAATGTTGAAATTGAAAACCTGAATGTAAGCTGCAACTCTGTTGAAAACGATGCGAGCGGTTTGGCGTTGGGCTCTGTCGGCCATGTTTCTCCGCTCGGCGCCGCTGTGCCTTCCTGCTTCACTCCTGCCTGTCGGTGGAAACTCCACCTGCTGCAGCAGCCGACCAGCGACTGGAAGTGGACTTCACTGGTTCCAGTGTTTAAATGTGGCTCCCAGTGGGAAGTCTGTGTCTGCCGTTGTAATAAGTGGATGATTTGACTAGGCCCAGTGAGCGCTGCCATGCCCTGTGGGTTAGTGATTGTGAACTGAATGTGTGGAAACTCGTGACTTTGGCTTTTCTCGTGCAGTTTTCGTGCCTCATCGTAAACGTGCGCCGACCTCGTGGAAGAGATTAGTAAAATCAGAATTATGTTTTGGAGACTCATGACTTGTACCCGTGTTCACTGTGTCTTCGTCCTTCCAGCCGTTCGGCTCACCGGAGGCAAATTGGAAAAGAAATGGAAGATTTTTATTCTCTGGTTTGATGTTTTTGTATATTTTGAGCTTAAATCTACAGAGAGGTTTTTACAGTGTGTTTTAAATGTGCCGGGTGTTTTCTAATCATAAAGCAGCCGTTTGACTGTAATAACCTGAGATTAAAGGGACAGTTTGTAATATTTTGTCTGGTTTCCAGAGAAAGATGATTGAATGTTTCTGAAATCAGAGGCTTGGCAGCATCATGCCTGGATGACATTTACAACTAAATGACTTCAAATGTAACTAAAAAGCTGAACTCAGTTCATCGTTAGCCACGGACCGAGGCTCACGTTCTACCGTGTTCCTCTGGAAGGAAACGTTTCACATTTTGGTTCTTTCTGTCCTGCTTGAGATACTGGTTCAGACCAGTCGTTTCCATGGCGACGGGTTTGAATCTGAGCTCGGTTGAAGCCTCAGCTGAAGATGGCTGAAGAGCCTGCGACAGCATGCAGCCTCTCTGTCTGTGCGCATATTTCTGTTACCACGGCAACCGCTTCAGATCCGATACCAAGATCTGCCCTCTCTAAACAGATTGAGTGTTTTCCTTTTATTCCTGACATGGAAAAGAATAATGATGAGCCCTTAAGTGGTAGGCACATTTCCACTAATTTGATAATAGCGGAGCAAATATTTCGCTTAGCACCTTTTGAAAAATGTTTAGTGTATTTAGTCTCCCCTGAATTTAATTTTCCAGTAAACTTCTGAAGCAATAATTTAGTTGGCTGCTTGGTAAACTTTCAGCTTCTTAAAGCATCAACAGGGTTGACTTTAGCGATTTAGCTTTACTTTAGCACTATTAGCTATGCGTAGCTAATAGCTATGCACATTCGGCTAATACGCTTAGCTAAATACCATGTTGGCGTAGCGCTTTAGCATCAGTGGAAGTAATGTTAGTGCTAACCTGGCTCAGCATGGCTAACCATTTAGCTCGCGGTGCCCACTACTACCTGTAAAAACCTGTTTACTCCGTGAGACGTCGCTCTTCTGAGACAGCGTCGCCTGCTGGAGGTTTTCCCAACGCTCTGATTGGATCTGACGCCTCAGTTTTGGGTGTGAATGTGCAGAAACATAGAGGCGGTTCCGGAGGCGGCCACCCACCATGGTTGCCATGGTAACTGTCGTGGGCTCTCTAGCCTGATGCTGAAGCAGAAATCCAGCTTCATTCATCCTAAATGTGCTGATGTGCCACGCAGCTGACTGAGGAGGTCCAGATGTTCCGGTTGGGCCTCTGAATGTTCTCTGAAGAGTCTTTAATTCTCAGGTTTGGGTGAAAACTGCTTGATGTTTTTATATTCATCATATTTTTATTTGATTTATCTGTAAATGGGACTTTTGGAACAAATGTTTGATTAAAACTGAGAAAATAATTCCCGTTTCTGTTTTTTCTTTATTAAAAATTGTTCGAGTTTAGATTTAATACAGAGCCAGTTCACAACAAACACATCAGAGATTTATAATCATTTCATAGTATTTAAATCGCATTAATCTGAACCAGAATAAAATATGAAGTATTTCAATGTTGGAATTTAAAACAAACAAAAAACATGCAGTACCGACCTACAGCCTGTTGGGGCGGTATTTCCCTGCAGTAAGCTGCCTGCTTTCTGATCCTGAAGGCTGCAGCTGTTTCCCGCTGGCAGCTGAAAGGCGTCAAAAAATATTTATTTTAATGAAGTTTAACCAAAAACGTTGTAAATATTGGAAGTTCTAACGTCACTCCACCTTAAACTGAACATTCTGCAAAACGTTCGGTGTGTGTGTAGGTAGGTGGGGCATATTGCCCCCCCCCCACAGGTGTGCTGCTGCGCCCTCTTCCTCTTGTCGCTGTGTGACAGAGCGCAGCTGGCTCGGTAAGGAGACAGGTAATCAGCATTTACATTTAAAAGCGGGTAGATCGCTGAGGAGATCAGATGCAGGCTGATGGCTCGTGAAGTGAGTTTAGAATTTATGTCTGATTCCGCCACTGGTTGTTTGTTTTTTTTTTAATAAGTCTTTATTAGTAATCTTTAAAACAATAGCATTGTACATCAACGAAAGAATAGAACAAATAGATAACAGCAAAAATATATACAATAAAATAGCATGGTGAAAGGCAAAAGATTAAAGAAAAAACAACATGAGAGCAAAAAAAAAAAAAAAATTATATATATATATATTTATATATATGCCAGGGGGGATTTAAAAAAAAAAACAAAACAAAGAGAAACGGTGTCAAGAAAGTCATTTGGGGAGAGTTAAAGAATATTAAATTTGCGTAACAAATGTACCGTTTTTATGGCTTTTAGGTTATCAGAAGACTCAATGAGATTAATGTACATATTCAATTCTTTAATAAAGATAGAGAATAAAGGTTTGCTATTGCTAAACTTGCATTTATGTATAAAAAATTTAGCAAGAAGTATAATAAGGTTGATAACAAAAAAGGAGTCCCAGTTCTTCCGCCAGATTGTTGTAGGAAACGCCCTTTAGAGAGTGACGTCACCGTTTACTGGTTTCACTTTAGAGAAGGTAAGGGCTGTTTCTCATCATTTATCTGGCTGGTTAATGTTCTTGTCTAACTTGATTTCTTTTGTGTGTAGGTTGGCCTGCTACTGTTTCAGTTTTTGATTTGTTTCAATTTCATTTTTGTTTTATTTACTTATTTCTAGATAATTATTGTTGATTAAAAGAACTTTATTGTTTTGGTTTTGCTTAGGGAAAGGGAGTTTCTATTGTAGCCCCCTGGCTTGTTTCAAACTGGGCCGATGCTGTCGCTGGTCCCAGGCTGTTTTATTTAGACTGAGACCAGTGGAAGGGAGTTTTTCTTCTTTTCTTTGCTGTATTCACCAGGGATTTTTGTGTGAGTGTGCTTTTGTTGGGGAACACTTCGGTGCCTTTACTTGTATTTGTGTTTTCTTTATTATTATTATTCCTCCCCCAAACAGTCTAATTTTATCTAATTGGGTTTTAATTATTTTTCAGCTTTAAGGATCCCAGGGCCAGCATAGACTCCCACTTTTAGTGTGGTCACTTGGTATAATAAAATAAATCGTGACTATTTTTGCTTATGAAACATTTGTGAATTTAATAATCTGTTTGTAATCTGCAGCAGTGCCTCAGTCAATTTTTACAAACTTATCTGTGTGATCTGGTAAAAAGAGGATCTGA